GTTCCAAAAACAAAACTGGTTAAATAGGCTAGCTGTAACTTCGGTTTCCGGTGGTTTTACGTTTGAAACACTGTTATTTTAGCGGTTACGTTAAATACCGACCATCTCTACTGGTTACAGATAGCTTAAAATATATAGGTTGTATATAGATATATACAAGTTGGTTTAATTAAAAGCTAGAAGGTTTTTATTTTTACTTACAATAAAGTCAATGGGTTTAATGCTAATTAGCTCAAAAATAACTTAATTTTTTTATGATTATACCGAAATCCAAATACAATATTATGTAGGCTCTGAAAACCATTCTGTCTTGCCAATCCAATTTGCCTTCAACCATAAAAAAATCTTCAAATCTGTCCCGTACGACAAATCCTTGTGCATTGGAAAATCCAGCACTTTTCAGTATGAGAATCATGTTTCTCTTTTCAGAATTTCTAGCTACGTTCTTGTCTACTTGACAGAGCTGGGCAAATTACTTTTAAAAAGTATTTAAAAACAATTACCAAATACTGTCTACATTAAAAAAGTAATTAACTACTAATTATTAAATAGAATATGCCGGTAATTGGTTGACAAATACTTTTAGTAAAGTATTTAAATACAAAAAAATGGTGTGCGCGACGGGACGCTCGACAAAAGTGATAACTTCATATAGTTATAGAAGCCATAGAAAACATAATAGGAAACTTGTTTAACGCATGATGGCAATAATAATTTTATTTTATAATTTTAATATTATCCTTGGTTGAATAATTTATAAATAGATCAGGAATAGGTAAAATGTAATTTAGTTTCCTTATGAATGAAAAAAAAAATATTTTTTATTTGCAACATTTGCTTGCATTGCAAAGAAGCAAAAAGACAACGGCACGCGGTGTTCCCAAGCGGTCACCCATCCAAGTACTAACCGCGCCCGACGTTGCTTAACTTCGGTGATCGGACGAGAACCGAATTAATATTCTTCATATAATAATAATAATTAATATTCTTCAACGAGAGGTTCTGCATATTACTCTTCTTGGGTTTGTGTAAACTCTTCTTCTTCTTGAGTTTCTGTATTTTTTAGCACGAAATCGTTTTTGGAGATCAGCATTACTTAATACTTTTCGCTGTTTCAACTTGTATCTGAATAGAACTAAAAATCAATGAATTTTGGTGATTTGATCTTCAGGGAAAGTTCTATATCAATCTTAAAATATACGGTAAAACGAGGAAGAGCTATAGAGACAGGTTACACTTGACACACTATATGTATACATACATAGTGTAAGTCATCGCGCGTAGATTGGAAAAAATATTCTAATTGGACTAATCCAAGACTAAAAAAATTAAACTTAATTGAGAAGGTTTAATCATAAAGGAATCAAAGGGTATATGAAGGGAAAAAATAATTTTGATGCGTGGTAAACACAATTAATCATTGAAAATAAGCCCTAATAAATTTGTTTTACATATTTTGCAACTATAAACTGAAGAGATATTCGTATTGTCTTAACATCAAGAATGCGTTGCGTGATAGAAAATAAGAAGACGGATCCCATGTTTTCTGAAGTAACCGTGGTAAACTCAGATATTTTTTCAATTAAATTAAAAACATATTTATTATGTATTATTACAAAACAGTGATGATGCTTATCATTTTATGTTAAATATGAAAGATTACAAAATAGATATCTAAATATTGATTATTTGTTGTTAGAAAATAAAATAACAAATAATAGAACATATTATTGCATTAAAAGTTATTAATAATAGTTGTGACTTTATCTGCACTTAACCTTGAGCGTTTTTCATAAATTGACCCTGGCTTCTTTAAAAAATATCAGCTCAACATCTGGTTTAACAATTGTCTCCGATGAAAATCACTAAACAAGTAGGTATACCTACTATAGTACCTTACTATAGTAATATTTTACGAGATCGAAACCTTTTCTTGATACGAATTTGCGTCCGCAATCAATCAGGCGATTTAAAATAGGTTCAACAGTTTTTCAAAAACTTTATTGTAGTGAATCTTCAGCACAATTTCGTGAGTCAAATCATCGATTGTTAGTTCATGAAACAATTATTTCTGCAAATTTATGGACAATCCGCATTTTCTTGCACTTAAACTGCTTTAGTGTGTATAATTGTGTGTACTTTAATTGTAAATTAAAAAGAACGCGCAACTCGAACATGCATATAGTACATGAGCACCCTTACTTAGTATTTGCAGTATCTGCAGCTTCTCCCTTGTTAATTTGTTGATTTATTGTTCAGCGTTGTAAAATAAACTGCACCACAACACAATAATATCACACTCAATAATTGATATATCAAAATTACTGTCAGTTTAATAACGCAATGTGTATTTGAAAAGTTTATCAGATCTACAGATGCACCCGCACTAAGGGAAAACTGTCGAATTCATAGTGCATATGTGCGTCCCAAGCCTCAGGCGCGAAGAGGACTAAAACTAAAAACTAAAATTAATTGATTTTTTAGTTCTATCCAGATACAAGTTGAAGCAGCGAAAAGTATTAAGTAATGCTTTTAACGCCAAAAACGATTTCGTGCTAAAAAATGAGCATTCAGTAATAGATCAACTCAAAGTAGCTTTCATCAACTGACGTCAAAGATTATACATACAAAGCAAATAAGAAATTACGACTAAAAATACAGAAACTCAAGAAGAAGAAGAGTTTACACAAACCCAAGAAGAAAATATATATATGTAGATCCTCTCGTGGAAGAATATTAATCAGAGCCTAAATACTGAACGTATAAAACCCGCGTTTGAGCATATACTTCTAGGCAACGACCATACCACGTTGAATAATACCGGTTCTCGTCCGATCACCGAAGTTAAGCAACGTCGGGCGCGGTTAGTACTTGGATGGGTGACCGCTTGGGAACACCGCGTGCCGTTGTCTTTTTGTTTCTTTGTAATGCAAAATGATGCAAATAAAAATAATTTTGCATTCAAAAGGAAATTAAATTACATTTTACCTATTCCTGAGCTATTTATAAATTATTAAACCAATAATAATATTGAAATTATAAAATAAAATTATTATTGCCATTATGCGTTAAACAAGTTCGATATATGTTTTCTATAACTATATGAAGTTATCACTTTTGTCGAGCGTTCCGTGACGCACACCATTTTTTTAATACCAAAGTACGTTGGCTTAGTAAAGGTGCAATACTAAACAGAGTATACAACTTATAAAGCAAAATACAATTGTTCTTGGATATGAAGGGATATGCCTTTCCCCATTTTGGTAATAAATAATGGATGTGCGATTTTGGGTTTCCTATCCACATGACTCAGCATCTCAATGATCTTAATGTGGAACTTCAAGGCAAAGGGCAGTTTATTCACAATTTGTATGATAACATTCACGGCTTTGAGCGCCAATTAAAATTGTGGAAACAGCATCTATTGCAGAATATTGTGCCTCACTTTCCACTTTTAGAAAAAAAAACCGTTACTACTTCTCAAAAATACGCACAATATACATGTACATTTTAATCAACGAATTTCAATTAAAATTCCAAATGTTCAGTGCTGAGAAGACATCGGTTTGCATGAAAATGTTTTCTTCACCTTTCCTTCATTTAATATCGATTTGGAAGACTTTCAAATGGAAGTGCATGGACATGCAGAATAACGCCGATTTAAAAAATGTATTTTTCTCAGTTAACATTGAAATTTTTTTTATAAATGTTATGAG